GTGCCACCGACACTGAGAACATCCGCTTCGTGTTTGCCGCCGTGAAGGACACCATCCTGCAGCTGAACCTGAAGGAGTACAACCTGGTGTGACCAGGGCGTGGCCACCACCAGGGCCAGCTCCCTCCGCATCCCGTGACCCAAACCACGGGCCTGGGTGCACCGGGGCCGGGGCCTCTTTTCCCTCTCACTTCCTGTCCCCGTCACCCGTCCTCAAGGGCAGGGCAGCCTCTTTCTGGCCTTGACTCCTTGTGGCTGGAGTTTTTTTTTTTTTTTTTTTCCCCTAGGGAGAGAGAGAGAGAGAGAGAGAGAGAGAGAGAGAGAGAGAGAGAGATGATGATGATGATGAGCAGCAGTGGGCCCTCCCAAAGAGTCCCCTACGGCCACAAGGTGATCAAGGTCAGGGACACTGCAGCCCAAGCCCATGGTCCCGAGTTCGAGTCCTCCTCCAGGAAGGCTGGACTGGAGGCTTGGGGACCACAGAGTTTCCCTTTTCTAAGTTATTGATATCCCGTGTGTACTCACAACCTGCACCATCTGCTCCCCAGACTCCAAGAAGTGGGGGTGGGCGGCACCTGTGCCCACCCTGGGAAGTGCCTAACCGTTTTTTGTTTTGTTTTTATTTTTGAAGAAAAGAGAAATACTCTCCTGCACTCTGTCTTGGCAGGGCAGGTGACACACTGCAGGTCCCCTGCTCTGAGTGGCTGTCACTTCTGTGTGTCCCCCTGCCTCAGACAGGGCCAGTCCTGCGGCAGAGCCTTCAGGGACATTGAGTCCCTGAGATCCACTCCCCAATGGCCTGGCCAGCAAGATCCTGGGGACCCCAAGGGGCTGTGTGTAGCGGACGGTGGGGGCGCTGGGCAGCTGGAGGCGCCACCTGTGTGGCTCCGTGACAGCAGGATGCACAGGGGCCTCTTCCGAATATTCTCAGGTCCGTCCCCAGATATGGGCAGTAGCCTCGCCCCACGCCTTGGTCCCCGGCCCCAGTCACTGCACCATGCCTGGTGCTTCCCAAGCCCAAGGGCCAGCATCCAGGAGGTGCTGGCCATGACCAGAGAGGACACAGGCGGCCCCCTGTTGCTCATATACACTACAATGTCTGTCTGTCTGTCAGATTTCTTTACTTTTGCACGTGCATTCTGGGCTTGGTTATCTGGCCATGCCTTTGTCCTGCCTGACATGCTGGACTCCAGGCCCCAGAGTGTCCACGCAGACACACGCCAATCTGGGCAGGTGTCCACAATTGCTGTTCCAGGCAGAAGGGAACAAGGGACCAGTGGACACGACAGAGTCCCAGGATATGGACAGGTGGCTGTGACAAGCACCCACATTCCTGGCCTCCAGCCCGTGGATTCCCCACCTTCTCATGCTGGGCTCCTCTCCTGTCTCCAGCTGAGGGTCCAGTCTTGTGCCATCCCAACCACAACAGGGCTGCGTGGATGGCAGGGTCATCCTGGCCACACAGCTCTTGGGAGGTCCCGATCCCCAAAGAGTAGGGCACCTGCTGCACAGCAGGAAGAGGACTTGGGACTGTACAGGTGTGAGGGCTGGGCCTCCCCAAGCCAGCAAAGTGTTAGCCCTTCTCAGGCAGTGTGCCAAGTACGCCAGGGCCTTTGGGGACCCAGCCTCCCCACAGCCAACCTAGCCCTCGCCAAGGGGCAGCCCGACTGCAGGGGACATGCTGACGTCGTTGTGGCTGCTGCGCCCTTGTATATTATTGCACAGCCCTGGTTTAGGAGAGCACTCAGAACACTGTTTACCCTCGTCCTTTGCGAAGCATGTTCCTCGTGAGTTGGGGGAGACTCAGGCACCCAGCTCGGCACCAGGCTCCTGCAGGCCCTTGGCCACCAGGGCTGGACGCCAGGGTGCCACAGCGGATCGGGGCCGTGACCCCGTAACCCAGAAGGTCTCGCAGAAGCCGCCTTTTCATATCTTTCTCTTGGATTCTGTTTTAAAGCGGAATAAATTTTGTTCCTAAACTCTGGCTCCTTTGGGGTTATTGTTAAAGGTAGGGGCTGGGGGCAGAGCAAACCTCTCCAGAAGGCACCTGTGGGTGTCACCCAGTGTCACCCTCCGCCATGAGGGGTGTCATTCACACCACTGCTCATGCCTCCTGCACTGCTCACATGGAGACGCTGAGCAGGAATGAAGAAGGGACCTGATGAAGAGCCACTGCCAGGACCTTGCCAGGGAGGAAAGTCCGCCCAGCCTCTGCTGTGGGATGCTGGACAAGCGATTGAGACAGGGTTTCTCTGTGTGACAGCCCTGGCTGTCCTGGAACTTTCTGGGTAGACCAGACTGGCCTTGAACTCACTGAGATGCCTTTGCCTCCCAAATGCTGGGATTAAAGGTGTGTGCTGTCGCCATTTCTTAAAAAGAAAAGAAAATGCCTTTGGGAGACGGCTGAGTGAGGAGGGTGCTTGCCACCCAAATAGGAGGACCTGAGTTCAATCCTGTCATGCTGGGCTGGGCATAGTGGGGCGCATCTGTGGGGCAGACAGATCCCAGGAGCTTTCTGGCAGCCAGTCCATGAGCTGCGGCTCAGAACGTCTGTCTCAGAAACCATGACACTGGTGGCCTCCACAGACGCGGGAACAGAAGTTAAAGTGTTGAGTGGCGTGAAGTTCATCCTTAGAGCTGTCCCCAGCGTCTTCCAGAACTTCCCAATCGCTGTCTGAAGTTCTGTTCCATCCTCCATCAGCACTCCCAGCCTCTGGCACCCACCCTCCCCACTCCTGTCCCTGTGTGGGTGTGGGCCACCCACGCTGGAGCACGGTTCTGAAGGCCTTTTTCCTTCACACCTGAGTAGTATCCCTTCCGTCTGCAGGGTGGGTCATGTCGTGTGTCTCACCACCTGTGTAGGACGACTTCTGGCTCTCGGCCGCTGGGAGTCGGCTAACAGGCCCCTTCGGCTGTTTCCCCACTGTGGTGTCTGCCCTGTCACGGCCCCACCAACTGTGCCAGAAGGTCCCAGGCTCCTCTCCCACTCAGGCGACCTCAGGGTCCTGTGTGCCCAGCAGCGCCGTTCCAATGATGACACACACTGTTTTCACTGGGGGGGGTGTGGTGTCCAGGCAGAGTGTGAGATGGGTTCCTGTTACACCAGTCATTCAGAAAAAAAATTCCTTTTCAGTTACAGAGTGTCTTAGGGTCACAATTGCTGCAATAAAACACCATGACCAAAAAGCTAGCTGGGGAGGAAAGGGTTTATTTGGCTTAAACTTCCACATTGCTGTTCATCAAAGGAAACCAGGACAGGTACTCAAGCAGGGCAGGAACCTGGAGGCAGGAACTGATGCAGAGGCCAAGGAGGGTGCTGCTTACTGGCTTGCTCCACATGGCTTCCTCGGTCTTTCTATAGAACCCAGGACCCCAGCCCAGTGAAAGGAAACATTCACAGTGGGCTGGGCCTCTGCCTACAGCTGGATCTCACGGAGGCCGTTTCTTCACGGAGACTCTTTCCTCTGACGACTCTAGCTTGGGTGAAGTTGACGTGAAACTACCCAGGACTACCACGGGACTGGTGGAGGGCAAAGGACAGTTTGCAAGAGGTTCTGGGAACCGAAACAACATCTTCAGGTTTAGTGGCAATCTCCTTTGTTGGCTGAACTTTTCATTTATTTGTTTGTTTGTTTTTTGAAACAGGGTTTCCCATTAGCTTTGGAGCCTGTCCTGGAACTCACTCTGCAGACCAGACTGGCCTCAAACTCACAGAGATCCGCTTGCCTCTGCCTCCCGAGTGCTGGGATTAAAGGTGTGCGCCACCACTGCCCTGTTCGACTAAACTCTTGCTGGCCCCAGGAAAGATTTTTCTGGGAAGGTAGCTGTAGTGGTTTGACTGAGAAAGGCCCCTATGAGCTCAGGTACCTGCCCAGGGCTATTCAGAGAGAGTATGGCCTTTAGAAGGTGCGGCCTGGGAAGTGAGGGGGCTTGCCCTCTGTGTTCTCCTAGTGTGTGATGAATGTGACCAGCCAGCTTCTGGCCCTAGCCACCTGCTGTCCTGTCATCCCCCACCACCATGATGGACTGGAACCCTCTGGAACCATAAGTCAAATGAAATAAACGTTCACCCATAAATTGCTTTTGGTCACACTGTTTATCACAGCCACGGAGAAGTCAGGACGTTGTGGTACATGAGTGGGTCCCAGGAGGCAAAAGAACCATGTTGTTATTAGAGAAAAGTGGTCCCAGTGAAGATGGGGCCCATGCAAAGGTCCCGGGGCTGGGGACACAGCGTGCAAAGACCCCGGGGCGGGGGATATGGCCGTGCAAAGGCCCGAGGACAGTGTGGAGTTTAGCATACTGGAGTATGGAGGCCTGTGTGGCTGGAGCAGAGGGAGGAGAGAGGCCTGGGCGGGCAGGCCTGTGGGACTCGGGTGACTGCTGCGGGGGGCATGGGCATGGCTGTCGGGGCCAGGTGGGGACCGGATGGAGGTGAGATTGGACAAGGTGGCCGCGGAGGTGAAAGCATGCTTGCTTGTCCATGTCGGCCGTACAGGTGCCTGGAATTCCTCAAGCGTCCAGCAGATGTCGCCAGACGATGTCCGCAACCAGGCGGCAGGCAAGGAGGACCTTCCCGAGTTCGAGTGCAGCTGTACGGCCTGCCGGATGCCATTCAGGGACACAGGGAGGAACGTCAGGATAGGACGTCTGCTCAGCACCAGTCATGCGGTCGGTCGAGGGTGGAGGGAGCGGCCCTGAGCACAGACTGCTCTCCCAGAGAACTGGGTTTCAATCCCAGTACCCACACCTGTGACTTCCGAATTCCAGAGGACCCAATGCCCTCTTCTGATCTCTGAAGTTACAGGTGCGCATGCCGGCGAAGTGTCCACGCACACCAAAGAGACTTGTGAGCAACTTTCTTTCTCCAGACAGGGTTTCTCTGTGTACTCTGGCTGTCCTGGAACTCGCTCTGTAGACCAGGCTGGCCTCGAACTCACAGAGATCCACCTGCCTCTGCCTCCCGAGTGCTGGGATTAAAGACGTGCACCTACCAGGCCCTTTATTATTATTTTTTATTTACTTATTTATATTTTTAAGGAAAAATGTCAGACTGCGAGGTAGCTCAGAGGTAGGGTAATGGAGCTTGTGGCCAAGTCTGACCACCTGAGTCTGATCCTTGGAACCGGGTGCTGGAAGGACAGAAGTGACCCTCACAAGGTGTCCTGGGACCTCCACACCTGTATCCTGGCATATAAAAACACACACAGCAAATAAACAAATGTAATTTTAAAATTTGAGAAAAAAGCCTATTACTTCACAAAGAAATGAAGGAAACGCCCCTGTTGATAGCTACAGCGTTTCTGCAGAGGTAAGGGAAGTGACTAACTTGAGTTTGTCAGGGAGTTGATCCCACAAAAGTCTGAGACAGGCTCTTGCTGTGTAGCACAGGCTGGCCCGGGATCCACCTGCAGGAACCTCCACAGAGGGTACTGGAGTGTCCCGAGGACCTGGTGTCTAATCCCCAAAGAGCCAGGCAGGGCACTGTCTCTCCGGTTTCTGCAAGACCAGGCTCTTTCTGACACCCCCCCCCCCGCCACGTTACCCCACCCCACCCCACCCCCACCCCCAGAGCAAGTCCCAGCCATCAGTGGGCAGGACAGCTCTCACTGGCCTTGGTGACCCAGCCCAGCCCCTATCAAGCTCCCCAGCTGCCACAGTTTGACTCAACAGTCAACCGAAAGTCAGCCAGCGTGGGGCAGGCGTGGGCTTGTCAACCGCCTGCCGCAGACCTGGGGTGTTCCTGTGTGTTCTGGGGGTGTCACAGACCTCTCTGAACATCACCAATGTTTCAATAGAGGCAACTCAAGGAGCGCCATGGCTGCTCTGATGGGGTGTGTATCAGGACATCCGAAGCAGAATGGTCTAGAAATTTTAGTCCCAGAAGTCTGGGGTCCAGGGACTCAACTCTGTCACCGTGATCCTCTCCTGAAACCGTGCTTAAAGCCACCCCCCACCCCCGGCCTTTCAACCTCTCTCTCCACTTTACTTTGGTCTTAGAATTTGTCATGTCTGTGTCACCCCGAGAGTTTTATTATTTTGTTTGGTTTTGGTTTTAGGAGGAGGTCAAAGAGCAACCTGCAGAATCTGTTCTCCCCTCCCATGGTCTGAGCCCCAGTGCAGGCTCCCTCACCCCCTGAAACATCTTGCCGTCACCCCCAAGTTTACAAAAATGTTCTGTTTTGTCCCATATGGAGCAAAATGAAAGTCTTTCTGGTATACAGTAGGTGCTCCATAGATGCGAACGTCAGCCCCTCTCTCACTCAGTCATCTCCCCAGGACCCAAGGGGCCAGGCATGAGCTATTCTGTCTCTCCTTCTCTTCCGGGACAAGCCTTGCCTTCACTCTGTGCCTCAGTTTCTTTAACTATAAAAATGGTGTGTATGTGCTGAGGGAAGGGAGCTGCAGCCCAGGCAGACACAGAAGCACAAAACTTCCCTCAGCCTCAGGTTCTGAAATCAGCCCTGAGCAATAGCTGTGCCCTCTGGTCGCTTCCTACTTGGGCCCAGAGAAGGGGGCCGGCTGGGGCCAGCAGCGTCAGAGGCCCGGGGCGGAGGAGGGGATGTGGGGGGAGCGAGGCCACCCTCCTTGGGAAGGAGGAAGGAGGCCTGGGCTCTGCGGGCGGCGGCCACCCCTCCCTCCGCATCCGCCAGAGCTTCTGCCACCGACCTGTTGGGCGGGCAGGGCCAGGTCTGGGCAGGTTGGAGGGGGCGGGAGCCGGCACTCAGGTCCCCGCCCTGCTCCCTGCACCCAGGCCTCTCGCAGGCCTTGCCTGGGCTCCCACGAGCCCTAGGCAAAGACATCGGGGGTCCCTGAAGTGACTCCCACATCCACTCCACCCTCTGCGGCTGTGTGGGCCCCGAGGGGCAATGTCACCTGGTGGCTGGTGAGTCGTTCGCCATGGCCCGGTCCCTGACCTGGGGCTGCTGTCCCTGGTGTCTGACTGACGAGGAGAAGACGGCTGCCAGAATCGACCAAGAGATCAACAAGATTTTGTTGGAACAGAAAAAACAGGAACGCGGGGAACTGAAACTCCTGCTGCTGGGTGAGTGTGGGAGGCACAGGGGATGCCTGTAAGGGGAGGCTCACTCGCTCGCTAGCCCTCTAGCAGACCCGTTTTCTGGATGGGAAGAGCAAGGCGTCAAAGCTGAGCGGCATTGGGTTGTGGGGAGGTGGCCCAGGCAGGCACTGCTCCCGCGTGTATCAAAGGAAGGGAATGAAGGTGAGCGGCAGGCCAGCCTGGCCTAGGGAGGGGCCAGCTCTTTCTCGGGCTGCCTGAGCCAGGGCTCCAAGGCGCCCATCAACAGGTTATGGCCACCGAGGGCTTGATTCTGGGCTGATGAGTATCGGTGGACTGACGGGGTGGATCATTCATTCATTCACCAACCCCAGCTTCTGAACTGTCCAATGGGCTTTGGGCCTATCACCCTAGTACTCGGGATGCTAAGGCAGGAGGATTGTGAATTAGGGGGTCAGCCTGGGCCTAGTGAGACAGAGTCTCAAAAAACAGGGAGGGGCGGAGCAGGGCCTGGGGCTCAGCCCACAGCACAGTCCCGGAGCCTTGGGGAGACCCTGGTTTCCATCCCAGGGCCACATGAGCCAGCTGTTGGGACATGCACCATCTGCTGCCCAGCTCTCGAGGTGGGGGCAAGAGGACCGGGAGAGCGATAGAGGAGTTTGAGGCTAGCCTGGGTTACATGACACCCTGTTTTGAAAAATAAAAAGCCAGACATGGCGGTACACAACTGTGATCCTGGCACTTGGTTGACTGAAACACCAAGACAGCCATGAGTTCAAAGCCACCCGGAGCTAAATAATGAGACACAGTCTTAATAATAATAATAATAATAATAGTAATAATAGTAATAATAATAATAATAATATCAGCAAAGAATGACATCTTCAGTGAGGAACAAGACAATGTCCATAGCAGATGAAACGGTCTGTTCTCAATAAGTGCCATTGAGTTCCTGTTTCTAAAAGGGAATTCTCCTTCTTTAATTCTGGTACGTCATAAAGCCACACTACAGCCAGCTTCACCCTCAAACAGGAGCCCCTGTGGCTCTCCCTCGTCAGGTTCCACCCAGGCTTTGCTTCCTGGCTCCACACGGAGAATGACCTTTGGCTCTTGGCTTACACCACTTGGTCATCCTGACACCCTGTCACATCTTTAAATGTTCGGTCACTTTGCTAAGAATCCATCTGAGCCCAGAAGGCTCTGAATAAAAGATGTGGTTTCTCGAGGAAGGTGAGAGGGCTCAGAAGGGAGAGGGGCTTGGTGAAATCCGTGTTCAAAGTCTGGATTACACAGACAGAAGGAGAAAAGAGACTCCCCCAAATAGACCCCTGATTTCCACATTCCATGAGACAACTCTTCCCATTATGTGCCTGAAACATCGTAGGAATGTATTCTGTATTGCACTGCTCAGGGGTGGAGGCCCACCTAGAATCTCCGTTGAGGGGCTGGGGGCGTGGTCAGGGTGGAGCCCCGCCCAGAATCCTCAGTGAGGGGCTGGGGGCGTGGTCAGGGTGGAGCCCCGCCCAGAATCCTCAGTGAGGGGCTGGGGGCCTGGTCAGGGTGGAGCCCCGCCTAGAATTCCCAGTGAGGACTGGGGTGCGTTTTTTGGGGGAGCACTTGGATCCTTTCCTCCAGTACTGGAAAGGGAAATGGAGAACATTTAAGAACACCACATTGCCTGATTCGTTCTTCCTGAGTTTGCATTGTTGACTGAATCTGCTTCGTATTGGTCGCTTCTCTTTCTTGTTCTCCCTTGATCCATCAAGCCCGTGGCTTGTCACTTCAGCAGTATTTCTGGGCTGTCTCAGCATCACTGGCTCCACCATGGGGCCTTTGCATGAGCTTCATGTGAGCTCTCAGCCTCTGGACCCTGGACATTGTGTGGCCAGGTTCTCTGCTCCACGAGAGTCTGAACCAAAGGCTTGACTCTTGGGACAACAGGCTTCTTAGACAGCCCAGCCACTCTCCTTTGTTCTTATCATCCAGATATGTATTCAAAGTCCTCTACTTGCTTACCTGATTGTGTCTCTAACCACATAGTAGACAACAGGGTGGGGACTGAGTCTGTCTTCTTCACTCCTGCATTCCCAGTGCACAGCACAATGAGACCACATACAGGAGAGTTCAGTAAACACAGTGAAGGATGGATGGGTGAGTGGGTGGGTGGGTGGGTGGATGGATGGGTGGGTGGATGGGTGGGTGGGTAGGTGAGTCCATCTTCAAGATAGAATCCCCCTAGTCCTCCCCATCCTTTCCCTGACAGTCTGATTTTTTTGTTTGTTTATTTGTTGTTGTTTGGTTTATTTTATTTTATTTTTTACTTTCTGAGACAGGGTTTCTCTGTGGCTTTGGAGCCTGTCCTGGAACTAGCTCTTGTAGACCAGGCTGGCCTCGAACTCACAGAGATCCGCCTCCCTCTGCCTCCCAAGTGCTGCGATTAAAGGCGTGCAGCAGACTGCCCTGACAGTCTGTTAAGGACACACTGCAACCTTTGTTCAGCTCTTTGCATCCCCTGGCTTCCTGCTCCCGGTGGCGGGTCAGCCTGGTGATCTGTGACATAGTTCCATAGATCTGTGCTGCAGACCTTCTTCATCCCATCTACTTGGTGGTTGCTTCTCAGTCCTGTTTGAAAACAGGAATTGAAGCCAAAAACATATGATTGCTTTCCTGGAGCGGCCAGGGGTTTTGAGGAAGCTGGCTAGGGGTGGAGAGGGGCATGTCTGTGCCAAGAATGAGGCAGCTAGCATGTGACCAAAAACAAAAAGTCAGAATTAAGGCAAGAAAGTCACCTTCGCCGAGCAAGTTCAGAGAAGTGAAGCAACTTACCTGAAACCACACAGCCTACGGTCTCAGTCTTGGGGACCTCGTGAGCTTCTGTCAAGGACTGAAGAACCTCGATCACAAATGACGAGTAAGGAGACAGGCATGGGGAGGGGTCCATGTTTATCTGGGGTCTGCAGCTTACCTGAGCCATACCCAGATGTGGTAGCTGTGTCCCCAGGAGCCCCGTTTCCTAGGGTGTGAGTTGATGCTGGGTCCTCCGGCCACCTACATTTGGCCCGACTACCCGCACATTGTTGTCCCCAGCCTAGTTCCACTTCCTCCTGCCAACTCCAGAAGGGCGCAGATACTTCCTATCTGGGTTGAGTAGTCTGGCCAGGAGGAGAGAGCTTTGCCACAGCCACAACCCACTATGGAGGTCTCTGGAAAGAGATGAGCGACCACATTCGTACCCCAGAACTGCACCTGCCTCCGTGTACTCAGTGCTTCAACAGTGACAATGTCACAGGCCGCTCCTGAGTCCTGGTGTGGGGGACTCATGGGTGTTTCTGTCCTGTGCGTGGAGGCCACAGTCTACTTCGGTCTTCACTGACCCGGAGGCTCATGGGTTCCCTAGGTGCCAGTCAACAGTCTCAGGATCCCGCCCCCACCCCACCCCACCCCATCTCTGCCTCCCCAGCATTGGGACTTCAGTTTTAGATCCTCAAGACTGAGCAACAAACGATTCACCGAGAAAAGCACCCGGTCCTACTATTGTGATTATTGTGGCCACTGGGTAGCTCTGGCTGACCAGCAACTAAAACAGACCCCCCTATATTTGAACCTAACTCCCAGACTGCTAGGCGTACGGGCGTGTCCCACATAGCTGGCCCTGCTCTATTGTTTTAATTGATTTGGTTTTGTTTGTTTGTTTGTTTTTGTTTGTTTTTGGTTCTTCGAGGCAGGCTTTCTCTGCAGCTTTGGAGCCTGTCCTGGAACTCACTCTGTAGCCCAGGCTGGCCTCGAACTCACAGAGGTTCGTCTGCCTCTGCTGGGGTTAAAGGTCTGAGCCAACACTGCCTGGCCAACAAAATTTATTTTCATCGAGGTAAAATTCAGTCACATAACATAGAGTTTGTCACTGTACAAAGAATACGCCAGTAGCATGTGTCTTGTTCATGGTGTCCTGAGAAAAGCACCTCAGTCTTTTTCTGTTTTTTTTTCTTTCTCTTTCTTTCTTTCTTTCTTTCTTTCCTTCTTTCTCTCTCTCTCTCTCTTTCTCTCTCTCTCTTTCTCTCTCTTTCTTTCTTTCTCTCTTTCTTTCTCTCTCTCTTTCTTTCTTTCTTTCTTTCTTTCTTTCTTTCTTTCTTTCTTCCTTTCTTTCTTTTCTAGACGGGGCTTGTCTGTAACAGCCCTGGCTGTCCTGGAATTCACTTTGTACACCAGACTGAACTTGAACTCACAGAGATCCACCTGCCTCTGCCTCCCTTGTGCTGGGATTAAAAGCGTGCACCACAACTTTGCTTTCTTTTTTTTAAATTATTTTTTTTAATTTATTTTACATCCTGATCACAGTTTCCCCTCCTTGTTCTCTCCCTCTTCTCTGGTTCCCTCCCCACTGTCTCTCCCCTCCCCCACCAATCCACTTCTCGGTTTCTCTTCAGAAAGAGGCAGGCCTCCCATGGGTGTCAACAAAGCATGGCTTATCCAGTTGAGGTAGGACTAAGCTACTCTCTTTGTATTTAGGTTGGGCAAGGCAACACAGTGTTGGAAATAGGTTCCCAAAAGAGGACTTTTGTGGTGTTGTTGTTGTTGTTGTTGTTGTTTTGTTTCTAATGTCTGGGTGTTTATCTGCATGTCTGTCTGCACAATGTGTGGTCAATACCTGAAGGAGCCAGGAATCGGAGTCAGAAATTCTGGAGCTGGAGTTACGGGGTTGTAGCCATGTGGGTGGTGGGATCAAACCTGGGTCCTCTGCAGGGGCAGCCAGTGCTCTAACCTCTGAGCCGTCTCCCCAGCTCCCTGCCCCAACTGCTCTTTTTTTTTTTTTTTATTTGTCATATTGCCCAGGGTGACTTCAAAGTACCATTCCTCCTGTGCCCATATCTGGAGTGGCGGCCACCATATGTCCCTGTGGAAGAGTGGTCATATCCCTGGGGTTCAGCGGTTAGCACATCAGCTAACATGCAGGAGAGAGAGCGAGAGCGAGAGCGAGAGAGAGAGAGAGAGAGAGAGAGAGAGAGAGAGACTCAGATCAGGTCAGATGGGCCATGGTGGCGCACAACTTTAATTCCAGCGCTCGGGAGGCGCAGGCAGGCAGATCTCTGTGAGTTCGAGGCCAGCCTGGTCTACAGAGCAAGTTCCAGGACAGCCTCCAAAGCTACAGGGAAACCCTGTTTAAAACACACACACACAAATCAAAAACCAAAAAACTCAGGTCGCTGAACTACGATAAAGTGTGCGGGTATGACCTTTAACTATTCTCTGCCCTTCAGACAGATGCAGGATGTGAGAATGTAGGAGTGACTAGGAGGTCACAGGTCATGTCTCCTGTCCTCTGCTCTCCCGCTGCCCCCGGCATCCCTGGAAACCTCATAGGCATCAGTGGTGAACGCTGACACCACACGGACTGTTGTGCTAGCGGGGCCCTGGGGATCCTGGTCCAAGGCCTAGACGGATGCTGTCACCTCTCTGATTCTTTGTATCTTCTTGGAAATGGTGTAAATGCTGGTCACCTGTGACGACTGCGCAGACACACAAGTCTCTCGGCTGGGATCTCAAGAGACTGACAGAGGGAGCAGAGAGCATGTTATCATCACTGCTCTAGCCGAGCACAGGGATATGGGCGCCTTAGAGCACAGGGGTCAGCGCAACCCCTGGCACACGCTTGGGGGCCAGGCTTCTTGGAATGCTGAACGACGTTTGTGAGTTCTAGGCTAGTGTAGGAATTTAACGAGACCCTCTGAAAAGTAAATGGGGCTGGGGGCGTGGTTAGGAGGAGTAACTTTCACCTAGAATCACCAATGAGAGGCTGAGGGTGTGGTCAGGGTGGAGCCCCGCCCAGAATCCCCCAATGAGGGACTGGGGGCGTGGTCAGGGGTGGGACCTTTGCCGAGGGCACAGGAGGTTCTGGGGGATACCCCACCTCCAGTGTCCAGACTGTATCTCAGGCAGCTAACACAACTTTCTCCATCCCTCACAGCATTGCCTGTCTTCCTGAAAATACCATTAATAACAGATTTTCTTGACTTATCTGTCTAATAGACTGAACACCTTGGGAAACTTGAATCTCAGAGAGGAGCCCGAGTCGTCCACATGACCGTCAGATCTGTAGACAGAGGCACTAGCTACCTCCTCCTCCACTGAGCCTCCTATCCTTAGCAGATCTACACAGACTCAGTCACATTGGCCTCCCCCCACCCCACTTTCTTTTTTCTTAGTCAGTATCTCATGTAACTCAGGGTGGGCTTAAACTCACTGCGTAGCAGAAAGTGGTCCTGAGCTCTCCTCGCCTGCCCCCATCTATGAGTACTGGCGTGACCTCCGTGCCAGGTTTATGCGGTGTTGGGAATGGAACCCAGGGCCACATGCAGGGCAGGTGAGCCCTGGGCCTGCGGTGCCAGCCTGTTCCTGTTTCTGTTCTTGAAACTTTTCCCACTTCCTCCTGCGTGAGCCCCGGACCCTCATTCTGGGGAGTCTCTTGCAGTTGGTCCCACTTCCCTTCCTTGGAAATGCTGTGGACAATGTCCCCAGGGGATGGACCGGTGACAACCTGGGGCCAACCCCTTGGCTCCGACTCCCCCAGTGGTTTGGACCCTTTTGTAGATAAGATGGGCACCGCCTCGGGGCAGGGGATGCTCGTAGGCTCACAACAGGGAGGTGAGGTCTGTGTCTAGACCCCAAAGGGAAGACTTTAATATAATCATTATGGACCAATCAGGAGAGCCGTGGCTTCATCTGTGACTGCCCTGACCCCCGCTTGCTCGGCCACGTGTTTTCTATTCACTCACTGAAGTTTATCTTCCTTCTGGACCTGGTGTTGCATGCCTATCACCCCGGCACTTGCAAAGCTGAGTGAGGCAGGAGGATTGTGATCACTAGACCTGGCTACACAGAGTGCACATGCCCATTCTCTCGCTCTTGCTCTCTCTCTCTCTCTCTCCTTCTCTCTCACTTGGTCGCTCACACGCACGTGCTCACTCACGCACGCACACACGCACACACGGTGCTGGAGAGATGACTCAGCAGTTACCAGCACTGACTGCTCTTGCAGAAGACCCAGGTTCAAGTCCCAGCATCCACTTCTCACTTGGTGGCTCACAACTGTCTGCAACTCCAATTCCCGGGGTCCTAATGCCCTTCTGGAATAGTGCAGGCTTTGCACTCTTGGTACACAGACACACATGCAGGGAGCACACCCATACACAAAAGATAAAAGAAATAAATCTGAAAGGACTGTCCTAAGCCAGACAGTGGAGGCACACGCCTTTGACCCAGCACTCCGGAGGTAGAGGCAGGTGGATTTCTATGAGTTCAAGGCCAGTCTGATCTATGGAGCAAATTTTAGGACAGTCAGAGCTACACAAAGAAACCCTGCCATAAAAAACCAAAACTAACTGAACAGAAAAGAATTGTTCTAAAATGTTGCTCTTTCTGAAATGGATGTAGCAAAAGCAGACTCTTATAAACACAGTTAAGTGATTCCACCGCAGCTGGACCTGGCTGAGGTTGGGTAGGGTGGAAGCCTCCCCCTTGCCCCACTCCTCCCTCTTGGCAGGACGGTTTATGAAGTCTGGTTCTTATCTCTGCCCTTTCAGCACAAACGCGAATCCATAGGCCAGGTTCTGATAAAACTTTATTGGTAGCCAGGAGTATGCTCAGCTGTGGGTTCTGACCCACCTGAGCTGATTGAGTGAGTCACTGTGTTCCATCCAGTGCCGAACTCAGCCCAAACAACGCTGTGAATAGGGAGGTATGACATGATACGTAGACCAGGCTGGCCTCGAACTCACAGAGGTCCGCCTGTCTCTGCCTCCCGAGTGCTGGGATTGAAGGTGTGCGCCACCTCTGCTGGACCCCAGCTTGCTTTTTGGTCATGGCGTCTATCACAGTAGAAACCCAGCTAGGAGAGGAACACACTCTGCTTCATGCTGATGGTCAGTTTGACTGGTGTGGAGTCACCTAGGAGACAAGCCAACCCCCAAGTGTAAGGACCAATCCAGATTAGTTTAGCCTCGGACCGTGCCTGGGGGGCGGGTGTGTTGCGTAGATGAGGGTAAACTGAGGGTGAAGACCCCACAGATAGAGGGCATCACTGGGTGGGATGTGGGCAGGCACCTCCACTCCTGCCACCACAGAGGCTTTGCCCTGTGTCTGAAGAGTAACTAGGAATAACTAAGACCCTGGTCCACACTGAGTAGCTTCCCGTGGCATGAGCACCGTGTGGGCGCTGGAGACTCCGTATGGACGCTGCAGGCTCCGTGTGGGCACAGTGGACTCCGTGTGGGCTCTTGTGTGGGCTCCACAGGGGCGCGTGTGGGCGCCTCGGACTCCGTGGGCCCCTACCTCTGAGCATGCTCATTGTCCCCAGGACCTGGGGAGAGCGGGAAGAGCACCTTCATCAAGCAGATGCGCATCATCCATGGCGCTGGCTACTCGGAGGACGACCGCAGGGCCTTCCGGCCACTCGTCTACCAGAACATCTTCGTCTCCATGCAGGCCATGATCGACGCCATGGACCGGCTACAGATCCCCTACAGCAGGCCTGACAGCAAGGTGAGCACAAAGACCCAGGGCTGTGGGGCATTTTTAGAGGCGGATGAAAAGCATTTCCTGGTCTGGTATCCCAGGAACATCCAAAGAACAGTTTGGTCACGTCCACTTTGATGCCGAAATGAGTTTACTAAGGCAGTTGATTTCTTTGGTTTGGGGGTTTTTTGGTTTTTTTTTTTTTTGATTTTTAAAAATCTATTTTTAATTATGGGTCTGTGCATGTGAGTGTGGTTCCTGCAGAGGCCAGAAGAGGGCACTGACTTCCTGGACTGGAGTTAGTTATGAACCACCAACCACCAAGCTGTAGTCCCAGCCCTGAATCTGATCTATTTATTGGCTGGTGTAGAATGGCTGGGCACATTGTGGCTTCACAATGTGTCAACGACACCCCCAATTTTATTGATTTTTTTTTTTAAAAAAGTGTGCACCCGTGTGTGGGGTGGTCATATGTGTGTGCAGACATTTGTG